AACGACATCCTAATGACGAAGCACCGCAGCATGCGCTTGCGACAGCTTCGCTACTTGCTGAAAATTTGGGGTGTCGCTTTTCAGGTGGTCCCGTCGCTTTGCAGTGTTTTTGCTCGACATGTCCACCGCATACAAAATTCCTTACAACCGAGTATTGACTGTGGCTCACATGACTATTACTTCCGGCATGCGACTCTTCTTGCCATCATGTCATTAAGATCATCTTATTTACATACTTGTCGGAAGGACAAGTTCTGCCACGTCACTACATGCAGAAAACGCGTCAGCAAGAAAGCTCCGGGCCAAGAAGTCCACAGGAACCTGTCACAACCCATCTGGTCACCCATCCTCTCGGTTCACAGCGGGCCCTGCCTTCACCGCTGCCTGCCAGCAGGACCAGGCCTCACACAAGGGGTGGCGATTGCGCTATGCGCTGCTCCTCGCTGCTCCTCGCTGCTCCTCATTGACCCCATGCTGGCACCTTTGCGCCGAGAAGCGCTGTAGAAAGAGGCTCCAGGAGCTCCTTCCCAGTTGTAAACTAAAAAACCCAAACGGAAAGCTTCACTTGAAAACCTGCTCCATGAAGCTCAGCAATTTCGGGCTTTCAAGTCCTCAGGTATCTTGTCCCACACACCGCTTGGTGTCTCCTTGTCATAGTGGTTGGATAGGACCATCTACAACACAAGATCATCTCAGGTATCCCAGAAAGAGCAGCATGCGCACTTGATTTTGGGCCGCAGCACGGGCCGAGGTTGCTTCAGAGCGGGAAAGCGCAGAGGCACGCTGCTGAAGGAAGCTTTGATGGGCCGTGAAATCTTTAAGTAGGAGAAGCCAGATGATCATGCGATACCGTTCCGTTATTGGACCTGGGGCGTAGGACCATAGTATTCAGCATGCCTAGCACCAGCACCATTGGCTCAGCGAGTGGAAAGCTGCGCGAGCTTGGGCCAACGCATCGCGCACCTCCGCATTTGGCAATCCACTTGCAAAGCACAACTCAGCGGAACACACTTCTGCCTTGGATCGATCTTTCCAAAGATTTTGCTGCCTCAGTTTGCGCACTCTTCACAGCAAGAGGCTCCCCAGCAAGGATGACAGGCCAAGTAAGAGGTGGGCCCACAGGGTTTCCCTCCTTGTCCACCTGAGGCAGGGCACACACTCTGGCAGACCAAGAGGTTGCTTCTGTGGAGAAAAGTAGATCTTCTCTTTTTTTCTGAGCGCCCCAGCAAGCACGCCGCAGTTCGTGTCAAAGGCGTGGCGGAAGCCGTTGCCCACCGGCTCCGGGGTGTTCTGAAAAAAAGGAAAATTCCCAGCATCTACACTGGTTACACCTATACCTGTCAATCCTTGAACTACAAAAGCGTTTTTCTGGCTGATAGGTGCTGCCGAGATGCTCTGCGCATGCGTGTGACAATCGCACGAAGTACCTGGACTCGTGGTGCAGACTCCGAGCATCACCTGCACTGCATAGAATTAGAAAGCCGTCGCGCCTTGTTCTTGGGACCACCTGTGCGGCCCACCACAACTACCTTGGAGAGGACACCAAAGCCCAGATCCGGAGTCGCAGGAGCCTCATGGTGACCTTTACCCCCGCTGGGCATCCGACCACATCGCCCGGCTCAATGGCTCGGACATGCGGCTTGCTTCCTTTGCCCACCACTCCCATGATTTTCATCTTGTAGGCCTAGGCAAGCGAAACTTGAGGATGCCTTACGTTGAGGCTGAGGGCTCTGAGGGAGAGCACTCCGCTGTTGTCCTGGCACATGAGGATAAAGTCCTTGGAGGGAAGCAGCGATCCCAGCCTCAGAGCTTGGCATGGTGCCACAAATATTTGCAAGGATTCCCAGGCACCCCACATGGCCACGAGCCCAAGGAGGATGGCTGGCACCTGGCAAGGCATCAGAAAAACCTTTTCACAGAAACCTGCTTTTGAAAAAACATGTATCCCGGTGACCATCACCAGCCGACGAGCCGCACTGCTCGCCTTCGGCCTTTTGAGCAGCAACTGGACTCTTTGGGCTGCCTCCACGAGAGAACAAGGCCCAGGCTGTGCCATGGCTTTGCCCCCCTCGGGTGCCCCACCTGTCAAGCTTGGAAAATTAGATGGACACTGGGCTGCTGCTTTTCTTGCAGGCTTGCAGGCCTTCAGCTGGGTGTGAGCTCTCCGCGGGTTTGCCACTGAGCCAAGTCAGGCGGGCTGCGGTGAAGTGCGCAGGGTCCAGACCCGTTTCCATGCAGCCAGCTGGTTTAACGCCCCTTGCACCACCTCCTAAGCTCGGTGCCCATGAGATCATGAATAAAGACAGCGGTGAAGGGCACTTCATACAAGCAAATACGCTGACAACGGATGGAAGTCGCCCTTGCATTGTAGGAGTTTGCAGAGCTCCTTACCCCTCTGTGCCCATCGCAAGAAAACCAGGTCCTGACTGTGCGTAAGCACTGTTGGCATGGATCGACCTTGGCACAGCAACCAGGGCTGGCACAGATCCTTCGGACACGCTAATAATACCACCGGGGAGTCACACCTTCAAAGACATACCATATGCGATAATGATATAGGGGACACCTATAAGGGTTATTAAGGGGAATACTTTCCTCTTGCACCACACCCGCAGAGGAGGCACCTTGGATCTGGTGCGGCGAAAGCGCCAAGGCCAGGAATGGGATAAAATGCTTTCGCCTTTGTTCTCCTGATTTGCTGGCTGTGTTCCTTAAAGTGATGGCATAGGCTTGTGCTGTACTCTCCGGTCGACGATGGTACTGGATGTCGCATGAATTCTTTTTAGATGGTGGTAGAAACTCATCATGGACGTGTTGTAGCATATGGTGGCACGGACTTCTCGCGCAATCTCTCTAGATGATGGCATAGATTCCCCACGTGCTTTGGTTGAGGTGATAATGTGCTCACGTACTTAATCTTTGCTGGACGATGTTGCAGGCGATGCCAAGAACTTTACACACACACTCTCTGTGAGCTGCTGGTACAAATTGTGGCAAAGATTGCGTTTTCTATTTCATGGATTTCTCATGCTCTTTCTGCTCTGCTGGGTGATGGAGAAATTCTCAGTCGCTCTCCTTCAAATCACCATACTTTGGCTGTTGGCCGACAGCGCCCATTGTCGTGGCCCCCACTTCCCTGGGTGTCACAGACCTCTGTCGCAGATTTTTGTTTCAAACCCCTTTGTCGCGGGCCTCAGGGTGTAGGGGAGTTTGTCGCGGGGTCTGTCGCGGTCTCTCTATCAGATTCTATCACAAACTCTCTGTCGCAAAAGCGCCGCCAAAACCCTGGTCGCGCGCATTCCTTGGATAAAGGGACTAGGTTGACGAGTACCCTCCATGGTCATATACTTCACATGTATTGATACCGCATTCTCCGTCTAGATGTGGCATAGACTCCTAGCGCACTCTCTTGGAGATGGCGAAAGAGCTTTCCCACGGGCGCTTCTTGAATCGATGCTCATGTTAGATATAAAGGACATGGCGAGCTTGTTAACGCACTCACTTTTTTGAATTCTTACTTCTCGGCATACCCTTCCCGCATCACATATACTCTCTTCAGATTATACTTGACAGGATCAACTCGCAGGTTCTCTCCTTTGGATGGTGGCATAGGTTTCATGTATCAAGTTTCCCGCATACTCTCTGCAATTAGATGATGGCAGGAGGTTCGCGAATAAGTCTCAACCTGAAGTAAATGATGGCATAGATACCTCTCCTGTTCTCGTTTAACCACTGCCATGGATCTTTGACGTAATCTCTTCAAATGATGGCGCGGGGGCTCCCACACAATGTCCTTCACACGACAGCAAAGATCTCCCTCAGACGTAGTGCCACATACTCGATTTTCGCATTACCGCAGATTTCTCATATTAGCTATCGTTTAGAAGGCAACGAATCCACCTGTACTTTCTTCGGATGATGGGGCATAGGTTCCTTGCGCGCTCTCCCATACATGGTGGCACAAACTTCTGGTTTCTCACGTACTCTCCCTAGATGGGCACATGCTTCTCTCGGTTTTTTTGTGGCATGGTAGCAGTGATGACATCGATGTCTCCCATGTTCTCTAGTGGATGCTTTCATCGATTGCTCACGTATAAAGTACTTTCGGTAATATGATCGCATCGACTACCTGCTGGTCCGAACACAACACTACCTATGCTTTTGAGCTTGAACGTTTGCAGGCAGAACCGAGCAAGTGCGTTGACTCATGTCACATAGCTGTCACGACAGCACCCAGCACATGGCCTATACACAAGGAAGTCGTTCAGGAGCGTGACAGGCGCGACCACGGGCCCATTGAGAAAGATCTAATCGAAACAGTTCCGAAGTAATATGACTAAACACACCCACAGAGTCGCTTCGCCTCATGGCGAAGGCTACCCACCCTGCAGACAGACGCGATGCGCTTTGGCTCCTTGCCGAAAGCTTGCTGAGACCCATGGCATTAGAGTTGAAAAAAGCGCTCAACTCGTCCGCCGGCCCGCAGCCTCATCGCAGGGGGAACATGCAACCCCGCCGGCAGCCTGGCGCCCAGAAGCACTAGTAGTTACTAGTCACTAGCGTCCTGGCAAATGAGGTATGGAACATCGTGGATGTTGGCCTGATATGGGCAGCATTGCTCGGATACGAGGCCTTCATTTTTGATGTAGCCCCAGACCTTGTGCCCAAGACATGGCAAGGCCAGACGCATTCCCGTGTGCTAGGCACCTGACGTTATCAAGAGCTGCACCTCCACAACCTCCAAATTGCCCACACCTGAGGCTGCAGAAGAAAACCCTTGCGAAAGCATAAGCCCCAGAGCCGCTGGCGACAGAAGCTGCTGTGGGGACAGCCTCAACCTTGTCACTTGCCAGCCACGATTTCCATGGCTCCACAGCTTTGAGGCCACGGGCGCGGTGAAGTCTCCTGGACTCGCAACGCAGAACCTGACATGGCCAGGGTGGCCCCGGTGCTCAAAGTTGCTCGGGCGCCTCTTGCTCACAGCACTTGCCGCAGCGATGGCCCAGCTCGCCGAGCCTCCACTCAAAAACACTCCGTGAATTCTGCTTTCTTCTATCTTCTTTTTATCTTCCAGTTCGGGCCCTGCCCGGAAGCGATGCTCTGACATGCTATCATGGCAGACACCGCGTATACCGGAATGGACAAGGGCTACAGGAGCAGCTACCGCAACTGGCTGCCTGGCTTCTGCAGCCTCTGCCAATTATCCAATTTGCCCCCGCCCCAGGGGTCGGCTGGAGGGGGTGTGTGAATATACAGAGACAAAGAGAAAACACTACTGTAGCGATCCACTCCTCCGTTCCCTGCTGACCACTAGCAACCAGTAAGTTAGGAATGGCAGGCATGTCACAACCAATTTGCTCCAAGTGCCCAGCAGAAGCTCCTCTACGCTTATACTGATTGCCGGGAGCTGCCATGCTTGTGAACGAGGTTCGTCACATGACTGAAGGGGGCAGAGCCGCTGCGCTGGGGCCAAGGCAATTGCCCATCTCATAGAGGGCCGGAAAGCAAGACCGCCACCTGCACACTGGGAAGTCCGTTGAAACCGCATCCTTATACTTGTGCCCCACTTCTCACGAGCATCGAAGCTCTTCGGGACGTCCACCTCTGGCAGCACGCACTCCGGGATCCCGCCTGAGAAGCATGTTCACAAGCTGAGGTATGGATCGAAAGCTGGGCTTCTAGATTGAAGGCCCTTGTATGCTCTGCCATGCTCTGAACGAAGCGCCAGGCTCACGCGGTTAGAGATGCTGATCCCGCCCAGGCGCTGGACATCCTCGATCCTCCAGCCCTGCGCACCAGAATCTGTAGCAACGTCTTTGGATGCGGAAAGTCTCCTGGAAGAAGCCGGCGCTGCCAGCTCGCCAGGTTCGAGCCTCCAGACAGTGAATGTTTTTCCCTCCGCGGAGGAAGCCCAGCTCTGAGACATGCCTGGGCTCCTCACGTTTAGGTTCACGTGATCAATGAGGCTCCTGTCATTGACCTCAGCCCGACCGCCTCAACTTGCCAAGAGGTCTGAGCGCCTGATTCGCCCGATGTGCCGGAATGTGCTGGGATGTGCCTCCTGGGCACCTGGCCAATGTCTCCAGCAGGCCTCGAAAGGCAGAGCATGGCAGAGCCATGGAGCAAGGTCCGCAAGGTGCAGCGGCCGAAAACGTGAAAGGCCAGGTGGATGGCTCTGCTCTGGACTGAGCAGCACTGCGGCCTTGCTGGGTCTCTGCGCTGCTTGTCCTATGCGTGTGACAGCCAGGCCCGAGGCACATCCCAGCAGCACGCTGCAAGCCTCAGAGACCGACATGCGCATTTTGTCAAGAGATCCAGATCGAGAAGCTGACTTCAACTCCAAGATTGCGGCTGTGCCGCCGAGCCAAAGGCCATATTGGAACTGCCAGTCCCTCAGGCGTTTCGGGTGAGGTTCACGGAGAAAAGCTGCTTGCAGGGGGCCCGGTCTTTTGTTTTTTGCCGCGAAGCACTTTCGGCTGTCCCTCAGCCTTCACCTGGCACTCCCGCCCCGTGCTGCCCAGCAGTGTAACGCAATGCAATGCATCTCCAAGCGCCGAGAGCCAGGCCATCTTCCGCCTGCCCAAAGCCCAAGAGCTCACAGCGTCAGAAAGGAGCGCGAGAATGACATGAGAATACGTCGGCATCAGCGGCGCCTAAGCCGTGGCCACTGGCTCCAAGCAGGCCCAAACCATGCCAAGCGGGCAGCATGCTTGCTGATGCTGGCGTAGCGGCTAACGGCATAGAAAGGAGATGCGACCGGCAGTTGTCTTGCGCTTGGTCTGTTACATCTCTTGAATCATGCTGAGGCCGTCCATCTTGGCAAACAAGCAGCATGCCTGTCAGTCTTTGCCTGGCATGCTGAAGCCAGGAGTTCTGCAAAGCAAAGTGGTTACTAGCTGTTGATGCTGGTTGTGTGCTTCAGGTAACAGTATCAAGCATGGTTCTGCTCGTCAATCATTCGTGTCAGCAAAATCCAGATAACAGCATGTACCTGTCATGTCCTTTCACAATCTTGCTCGTTGATCCCGGAACCATGTGCTGCTGGAGGAAATCTCACAATCGCAGGCAAGACTCTGTATGGCTTTCCCGCCCGTTGCTAATTGGCATTCTGATTTACGGTTTGCCCTGGTCGTTGGCCCGTGCTGATTAGCAAAGATAAGCTAAATTTTCCAGTGGGCGCAATAATTTTTGCGCATGTTAGGCGAGGATTTTCGCGCCGCTTTTGGCCCAGTTTCGTAACGAGGCTTCTGGACATGCATGTGTGTTGGGTTTGTAGAGTAGATGTTGGGGTGGGCATGCGCAAAATCACCAGCCAAGGTGTTTCGCACATTTCTTGAAGCTCATGCGTAGTAGAGGACTGCATGAAATCCCACACTGAAGAAGGACTGCCACAAATGTCGCTCTTGGGGCTGTTTCTACCAACATCGTTCCTCACGCAATGTTGTCTCAAAAAAGATGCTTGGCCAATCAGCTAGTGTTCGGGATTTGGGCCCAAACCAAGCTGAGACAACAGGAATGCCACGTTATTTTCCCTTTTCAACCAAGAAAACACGACAAATTCAGGTGAGTTGGAGGCAAGATCCTCAATCACAATTTCCTCAAGGATGCAGAGGCAACAGCAGTCATGAAAATCAACGGAAGAAATCAAAATCATGCTGTGAAGAATGGCGTGGGTCCTCCAGGGGATAGAAAAGATTACAAGGCTGTCAGTGTTGTTGAACTAATTTGTGCATCAACAACACAAGCGCCTGGATGCTGTGAGCGCAAGCAAAATTATGCATGGCCCTTATTGCAGCCTTTGCTTACATTGCAGGCGAAGCAACGGACCAAGAGCATTAGACTTTCTCTGGGAGGGCCGTCAAGCAATGTCATTTCATTGGACTTTGTGCGCAGCAGGGCACTTAAGAATACTGTAGCCCTACGTCCTGAAAGGTCTTTGTTTACTCAGGCGAAACCCAACCCCAGAACTTTGAACCTAAACTCTTCGAACGCTCCTCGCCTGCAGGCGCTGGAGGCTATATGGAATCCAAGATGCCCACTAACCCTAGATGATCAAGAACCTCAACAAGCCGTCACTCTGTACACCTGCTGCGCTTCATGCTGCGCTTCACGTCCAACCTGGAATGGAGGCAGGCATCAACTCCCTTGCTCATGTTTCATTGCAGGTATCTGCTCGCCTGCAAGAGGTTGGGCAGAGCGATGGCCTTCGATAGAGGCAACTGTAAACAGAAATGAGTGGCCTGCAATGTGGCTGAAGAGGCCTGCCCCATGCCCGGGTTGATGATCGGAAAGCTAGCACGGGCCTTGGGCCGTGAGTCATGCGAATTGCCTTTCATCTGTATGGTGTGACGCTTGGATTGCTGCGGGCTGAAATACCAGTCCATGGTATTGATTGGTTTGCCGCCTTTGCAAAGTGCAAAGATGGTGCACTTGTTTTCCTGTCAGCCCTGGATCCTTGGCACAGGGCTGCGAGGGTTGAAGATGTTCGGAAACCGCTTGCAGACCACGCTCCGCTCCTTGACGGACGTGGGATGCAAACACGCGCGTTTATGCTTGCTTGACAAGTTCCGCTCAGTAGCGCAAGCGCGCCAAGCATCAACGCATCTAGGCATTCTCTACAGAAAACGTTTCAACGAACGACATGGCCCTCAAACCGAACGCGGACACGCACACTGCTCTCGCGAAAATGAGAAGATTCGAAGAATCACCTACGAGCCTATTAATTTAGGAGCTTTCACCTTGAAGTTGGCCAAGACATGCCAATCAAACCCCACATCATAACATTTCTTCGTTTTGCCACACTAGCAGGGCTGAGCCGAGAACAACCGGTCAAATTTGCCGGAGGTGTCTCCCGCAATCCCGCAAAAAGCATCTGCAATTGGGGAAGCCTTGCAACCCGACTTCCCATGAGTTTCGATGGCTCAATGCCCCCAGCAGGGCAAAGCGCCAACTGCCAAGGCGTGGGCAGGAGCAGCAGCATGGGTTTTGTAAGAAGGCACCAGGAAGTCTCTAACTCCTTCGTATTCAAGGGAGCATGTTCACTGCTATGTTCATAAAGCATGCCAGAGCAGCGCGGAGGGTCGTTCAGCGCATGTTTCGTGCTCGGATAAACATTCCATCAGACTAAAACTGCAGGAGCTGCACCGCCACCAGCCACTAGGCACAGCGACTTAATGTCGTTTTGAAAGTTGCGCGAGGAGGCTTTCGATTGCTGATAAAGCTCAATTGATTGGACGTGGAATAATGAATTTCTCTTCTGGTCCACGGCTTGCGATGGCAGCCTTTGAAAGTCCCGGCAATTCCTCTATCTGCACATCACAACAGACTGGAAAACCAGTCCATGCAAAGAAATGCTGAGAATCTGACAGCTTCACTTCATGGACATGTTGCTGGAGCTCTTCCAATTGCTTCTCCAGCAGTGCTTCCCTGGCTCGCTTCTGCAGTTTGGGCGTAACAACATTTGAAATTTGTCGACCCAACATGTTTTGCAAAGATGTCTACGACCAAATGCCTAAATGCCTAGCCGGCCAATCGTCTTCTTGAATAAGCGCGCGTCGCGCCTAGCATTTGCTTCATCTAATTTCTTCAGCAGCAGTCCTGTCCACCAACCAAGCGCCTAAGATTGGAGACTTAACTAACTAGACCCTCCATCTACCCGCTATATATACCCTAAATGCCCACTTTAAGGGACCATACACTCCTATTTAAGGGTACAAGGAGGGTCCTGGAACAACATCCTACACTGGAGCTTTGAAGCCTGGCCTTCAAATCCTTCAAGCAGCGCTCATAGCCTTCCTCATAGCCTTCCCGCCAGCATTCTCGTCCCTCAGAGGCATGGAAGGCATAGAAAAAAAACCAAGTGCACCTTGTGAGACTGAGAGCTTCACAAATTGACGCAATGATGTGACCAGCGATCTGCTCTCCTGCACTTGATATGAGCGGACAAAATTCGTTACTAGTAACAAAGGTGTCATGTCTGAAAACAACCATCATGGGGAAAGCTCGATGCATCTTCTGGGGTTCACACTTCCTTCGAGGACACGCAGGTCTTTGATCTCCTGGGTAGGGAGAACCATGCGCATTCCTACTATCATCAATACTATAGTGACTATTATTAGCGGAATCCGCACCCAGCAGGGCTACATAATATATGCCAGCTGCTAAGAACAACCAGCCAACGAACTGGAGTCTGTGTGTCGCACATCTAAACTAAACACTAGCATTAAGTCTGTCGTACTCTAGCTTGTCTTGGTAAAATCCAGATTCCTAAAAACCCAGAAAAACGCATTTCAAAAACGCGAAACAAAGGTTGGTTTTTTTTTGGGTTTTCTTTGGGTTCTTTTTGGGGTTTTTTTTGGGTTTTGATTCTTTCAGGATGGGTTTTTTTTTACCTTTTTTCCGGGGTTTTTTTGCGTCCGTTTTGAGGCCGGCGCGACTGGCTGCGTTTTCCGAATGGGTTTTTTTTTTTGCGTTTTTAGGATACGCAACCGCCACCAGTACTAGCTTGTCCGATAGACTTAACACTAGCACAAGCCCACACACACACACATACCCTCAAATACAAGTCCAACCCTGCTCCGTCCCCCCCTCGGCAACCCATGCAAAGAACTCCTCGGGATCTGGTGTCGGCGGCTTCATTTCCTGCATTCGGCGCTCGTTGTCAGGATAAAGCATTGCAGATTGTAGGAACAAGCAAGGGCGGCAGGTGACAAGGGAAAGACTTGGAGAGCTGAACTACTTAATTTTACGGGCTGCGGCCAAATGGCTAACAGGTTCAACTTCGTATTGTGAAGGATACACACAGTAAGTTCAGTGCAGGAGTCCGGCCTCCACGCATTTTTCCACGGGCGCGCTCTCCTCCGTGAACCCACGG